AGAGAGAGAGAGAGAGAGAGAGAGAGAGAGAGAGAGAGAGAGAGAGAGAGGGAATAAATCAGATGGTGTGATAAGGAGTGCTTGAACTTGTGGAGCTACCTGAGCTAGGATATTTGGGGAAGGCCTCCTTGTGGAGGTGACCTGAATAAGAGAAGGCAGTCACAGGAAGTGAAACAGAGAAAAGGGCGGTAGAGAAGGGTGGTATTTCATAGGTCTTACAGGCTACCCTAAGGAGTGCAATAGGAGCCAGGATGATACAAATTCTTTTATTTCCTTTTTATTCTTTTTTGCCTTTCTTTTTTTAAAATAAGATAATTGGTTGCTGTTTGGACAATGGATTTGTGAGGTTGAGTGAATGAATCAACTGTTCATACTTGTAAAAAACAAACAAAACAAAACGTGTTTCCTTTTCATACTGGATTTAAAGCCAGCTGAATATACCATTGAATATGAACAGGAATTTGAACTTCTTAATTTTACCTTTGCAAAGTTGATCTCTTTTATAACACAGTGTTTGCTATCTGATTTCCCTTTGGCCAAGTATGCTTTCCCAAAGGCACCTTCCCCAATGGCCTTAATCACATCATATTTATCCATGGTCTCCAATGCATGGAAGTTCCTAAAATAAGAGCAATGAAAATTTATTGCACACTTTTCATAAACGTTAACAAAATCGAACAATTGATCCCCAAAAGGTAAAAGAACACATTTTGCTTAAACATTCCTTCCTGCCTAACCAAGACAAGAGTCAAATAACTCTCCTTCTGGTAACAGGTAACAACCAAAGTGAGACAGATCTTCTCTGTGGGCTCAGCGACCAGACTTGGGTTTAACTCAGCTTTGGTACACTATAGTTTTGTGATCTTGGGCAAGTCACTTAATTGCGCAAAACCTCACTTGGAAATAACAATACATTTTCTTGTAAGTTCTGAAAATGAAAGTTATAATACTCCAGCATCACCACCTGTATAAAGCAGGAATGTCTTTACGCTTGTGTAGTTTTACAGTTTTCTCAGTGGTGAGGTACTGCCCCCTAGGAGACATTTTGGAAATTTATGGAGTTTTTTTCGGTTCGCAGAGACTGAGAGACACTGCGGCATTTATAATATTGATTAGAAGCAGTTGGGGCACCGGATACTATTGTAAGATTCCGCGATGCAAGGGACGGTTCCGCGCAGTAAAGGATTATCACGCAGCGCTACAACCTTAGAAAGTCTCCCACACATTCATGTCCGTGGAAAAATCCGTTTATAATTATCTCCGGCTAGACTCCAATTGTATTTTACATCTAAACACAAAGTCATTTTTGCATAGTTTTCATTAACACTGAATTTTCGAGGAATGCAACTACACATATCAAGGCTTGACTGCACTTTGTTTCGCTTGGAACTTTATCAAGAGCTGTTCACGTTTTGGAAAAATCACGCCCCCATTGGCCACGCTGCTCCGGTGGCTAAGACTTCCTGGTCAGGTGACTCCCTGTCCGGCGCGGGCACCGGCTACATCAGTACAGATGGAAATAGACTTTATTATAAATTGTTTCCTTGCAATTTCCATTTATACTACAGTTCGGGCATAACGTTTTGTTTTGTTCTTTGACTGGGCAGTTTGTTTTTGAGTAATTTGTGTCAGGGTATCGGAAGGGGGGACGATTAAGTAGGATGGGGCTAGTACTCGAGGGCACCAGCGCGGAAACTGAGTGACCGCGACCCTCCCGCACAGGTGGCACCATGTGGTGAAAGCCCCAGGTTTTGGGAAAAATTCTTCTCCGTTAGGGAACACTCAGGAAGGCGGCGGGCAGGTGGGCGACGGAGCTAGCGCCTGAGCCAGCGCCTGAGCCCGAGAGCCCGGCGCGCCCAGCGTTGCCATGGAGACCGACGCGGCCCAGGACCAGAGACAGCTCTTCTGTCTCCCGGGTCCCCCCGGAAGTGGGTTCCCTTTCCTCGGGGCTCCCGGGGCCCTGGGGACAGTTCGGAGTAAGGACAAAAAGGCCCGCCAGCTGCATACCTGCTTCGCGGGCTCCGTGGGGTGAGAAAAGCGTCCTGGGTGGATCTAGGTTTCCGGGGTGCCCGCGCCGCCGTGCGGCCGGGGCGGAGCTACGCGAGGGAACGTGGGTGGGGCGCGGGGGCCCTACTAGCTAGAGGACCGGTCCATACTGCCCGCCCGGAAGAGGAATCGGAGGCTAGGAAGTTTGGAGACCTAGCAGTGTTACCGGATGGAACTCCTTTCTTAACCCTCGACAAGCACACCGCTCCCGTTCTTGTTTGCGGTGCACCACATGCTTTGCGTACATTATCTCCAGTCTTTGCAACAGCCCAGCAAAGTAGTAGACTCCATTCTACAAATGAGCTAAATTGAGACAGGAAGTTTCTTGTGCAAGGTCCCAAATATTGTCAAGAGATGAAGACTTGGAACGGAGCCCTACTTTTTTGGCCACAGCTGGTGGCCTTTCATATGGTCCTCTTACAAAACTGGCTGCTGCCAATGGCCTGCTAACATGCTCCCCTACTCCCACCATACCTCATTCCAGATTACACATCAAGCTGTTAACATGTCTCATTACATGTGTAGTAGTTGAAAAGCATGACATTTCCAGCAATTATAAATACTGACACAAATAAAACATAGCCAGTAGAATCTACCATGGCAGTTTTTTTAAAATTTTTTTTATTTTAAAGATTTTTATTGGGGAATTGGTGGGATGGGAACAGCGCTGGGGAATTGGGGGAAGGGGAACAGACAAGTTGCTGTCGTTTTGTTCTTCAGTCTAGTTGTGGAGGACGTTGCTTCACTGGCCCAAGTTGGCACCATCATTGCGCTCTTCCTGGGCGAAGCAGATCAGTCGCCAGCCTCTGGACGGACTTCCGCTCACACTGGCTGCTGGCTACTGGCTACATACAGTAGCCCATGGCAACCCACTGGCACAGGGGCTGCAGCCTACGCCGTCACCAGCACTCACCACAGCCCAGCTCCAGGTTGAGCTGTTGTACAGCATCTTAGCTGTGAAGGGCAGTGTCACTGGCCCTCATATGTGGGATCCGAACCGGGGCCCTCTGGCGTCCCAAGCCAGTTCTTAACCGTTGTGCCACTCGGCCAGCCCTACCATGGCAGTTTTAAACCCACCATCTTTTTTTTTTTTTTTAAGTAAGCTCTTAAGAATCAGAAAGTTTACATCATTACTGTCTCTCCTTGAACTCATCTCTATATGATGCTTTTCTTGCTTCAGTCTTACTGATAACCCTATCATATAAATGGAAATTAATTTCTATTTCCTGATCACAGGCTTTTATATTAGATTATTAAAAACACTGGGACACAACTGATCAAAATAAAATCAATCACACTGATAAATACTAATTATAAAAAGTAGAATTGTATCACATTCGTCTCTTAAAGATCTGAATGGGCTTTCCTCTTCCACCCTCCCAATTAATTCAGTTAGTACCTACAGAGGAATGCTAACTTTTTGCTGGAACAGACAAGATTCAACATTGATTCTCTTCTGTTTTTCTTGTTTCCGCTTTTTTTTTTTAAATCTGTAAGTGCTGAGAAAACTCATTCATACCAGTCTAAGTAGGAATTGGAAGTTTTGTTCAAAGTATCCCTCAATTCTTGCCTAGCTGTATGTCAAAAATCATATAATCTATCACTAAAAATGGTTTCTCATCATCCATTAGTTTCTTGAAATTTTATGAAAAGCAAAACCCTGCAAACCGTCTGACTTTTGAAAGGATTTGCCACCCAATCAAGACTCATTCAGTCTCTCAATAACTATACATAGTTTTAAGTTCCCTTTGGTGGTTTGGAAATGTTTACACACTTGGGAATACTAAGATTTGAGGTGACTAAGGTATAGAATACAGTATTTATGGAAGCTGAGTATCTGGAAATATCCTTAAAACTATCCCTGCCTACCATAACATTTGAAAAGTCTTCAAGAATGGTGGGGGCGGGGGAGGGAGGGGAAAGGAGTTAACCTAAGTAACTCTGGGAAACGGTGTTTTGACTGGAATTGTAAGGTTAAAGACAATTGGAACAATACATAAACTCTATTCTAGCTGGTAAATTTATTTCTCACAATGGTATGGGTTAATAATTTGGAAACAGCTTTACATGTATTTTGATGTTGAGTAAGTAAGTGGATGGAGGATGGTACAAGCCAGATTTCTTGCTATCAGAGAGAGAAGCTACAGGAGAGCAAGGGGTGGAGGGAAGGATAGAATGAACCCTGTGGTACTGGATTAAAGTCCAAGACATCAGTATGAACCGATGCTTAGCTTAATATACATATAGAGAGATACAGACATGACTATAGATGTGAGTACATACACAGGATAGTATACATACATACGAGATTTCCTAGCTCTTTCTGCTGAGAAGCCCTAGAAGCAGTGACGCCCCTGTCGCAACAAACACACCCAGCACCCAGATCTTGGTTTGTAAACCAGTGAAAAGAACCAGGGATCCTTGGAGAAATGGAAGATTCTGGGGCTGGGGCAGAGAAGGTACAAGATGAGCCTGGACCATTTCTAGCAGTGCCAAGAAAGTAAGACAGTGCTCAAAACACAAAAGGATGAGGACATATCAAAGGGCCAAAGGAGCCAACCTGAAACAACTCCCAATGGCCAAAGCTTAAACAATTTAAGCAGCAAAACAAATGAATTAGTATTGAATTATCCTCATTCAGGAGGTGGAGCTTAATTCCTCTCCACTTGAGTATGGGCTGGACTTAGTGACTTACTTGGAGTGAACTGAGCATGGAAATGGAAAATTAGTAACTACAGTGGAGAACCTGGCAGACACTGCCTTAGCCTAGTAATCAAGGTTAACAACAGGGACAGCCAAGTGACTCAGTTGGTTAAGAGCTCGCTCAAGAGTGTGAGCTCTGAGCAACAGCGGTTCGAGTCCCGGCCCAAGCTGAGCTGCTGTTAAGCTGCCAACAGGTGGCAGGATGGCTCAGCTAAAAAAAAAAAATTGGTTAACAACAGAAGTAATAAGTCACGTTGAGATCAGATTCTTCCTGATGATGTGATGGGAAGAGTGCTTCACTTCTGTGGTGTTCTTCCCCCAAACCCTTAAGCTCCGTCTCATTAGGATAAAAACACAAGACAAACTCAAATTGAGGAACATTCTACAAAATGCCTAACCAATATGCCTCAAAAATGTCAAGGTCCTGAAAAACAGGAAAAGACTGAGAGACTGTCAGAGACCAGAGGAGCCTAAGGATGATTAAATGTTGAGGTATAAATAAATTGTGTGGGGGTGAAGGTCTACACCACAGGTTTTGTATGTTCAGATTAAAAAAATTGTTTGAATCTTTAAAAGATGTATTCCATATTTTAGCAGATCCTTATTAATGATCCCACGGTGGTTTCATGACTATTCTCCTATTCTTCACTTGAACATTGTTCCCTATACCAGGCCGGGCTTCTGCTATTCCCACACTTGCCCCTGTGGCATCCCTTGGGAAGAGCCTGGTTCTTTTTTAGTAAAATATTCTCACCTCACTAAAGTACCACGGAATTAAATGACAGGAGCCAGCCCAGTGTGCCATGGTGGGTGATCCATACATGTTGGGATCCTACCCCGTCCATTAGTCCCACAACATTAGTAGTTTCTGATACTTTCCATATTGATTCCTTACCTTTGGCCCCATTTCTTTCTCATGCACAGGGCTGATGCCTTCTGACCAGATATGTAGCCCACCCCACTTTTCCCACAGTGGATCGATCCAATGACCTGGGCTCTTTTGTGTATCCTATGAGGGGCTGCATTTAAGGACAGCTGGTAGTTTGTGAAGACCATTGCAGATCGTTGATCACTACCCAGTGATCAATGAAAAACTGTACACATTATTATGTTATAATTAAATATATTTAGATCTTCAGATCTTTAGGAAATGTAAAAAGAGTCACAGAGTAATAAACACACATCATAAAAATGCAAATAACATTATGGACTGCTGTCATGCTCTACAATCAATATCCCTATGAGGTAAGCATTATTATCCTTACATTATAGTTGAAATTCGGGCCCAAAGAGGTTACATAATTTCCCACAATGACACAAATAGTAAGCAGTAGCATCCAATTTCTGTTCTGACTGCAAAGCCCAAACCTCACACCCATTATGCTACCCCTCCTTTGAATTAAAAAACTCACAAGAGTTGCAGATTTTTTAAACCTTGTAATACTCATCAGGAACAATGTTAAATATTCAGTTTCCCCTCTTTATTCTGTTTCCAAGAGGAAATATACATCTGGTAAGCTATTAGTATCTAAACATGAATTCCTTACTTTTAATATCTACTCATTGTGACTGCGGAACATTTTCTTGAGTATTAGCCATCAGACACTTCTTGCCAGCCAACTCGCTGCTTCAGTTCTGATACCCAATCAAGGTTGTCGTCTTCCTCCTCAAAGTCCCTGTGAAAAAACAGTGTGGATATTAAGCCTCCGTGTTAAGGTCATGGTAAGCAGAACATCACCATAACAATATTTACATTTTTAAAAAATGAGCTCCAAAAGGCAATGAACAAAGATCACTTCTTTAACTGTTTCTATAATTTTTTCAATATATTATATTAAATATATTAATATATATATATAATCTATTATACAAAAAAATAGTAAGTCCAAGCTGAATGATTATAAACATATGGCTCAGTCAGGAATTCTGTAGTTACTATTATGCATTATCCATCCCACACACAAAAAAGTCAAGATATAAACATTCATTTATGATGTAAAATAATATAATATAACCAGCTCCTAGTAAACCTGAAATTATTAAGGTTTAATTTAAATTACACATACACACCCCCCCACACACACACACAGCTAAAGCTTTCTAGGTATATCACAACATACGTGTCCTCCTCATCCAGTCTAGGTTCCAGTCTCTCTGGGTCCAAAACGACAGAATCGTAACCTCCATCAACACTGTCTGATGCTTCTGTTTCTTCACACAGGGGGCCTTTTAAGAACCCTTCTGAACCTTCAGAGGAAGATAAATAGAAATCATGCTAATTTAAACAGTATTTATTTAATTTGTGCATGTTGGACTAAAATCCTCCAAAAGCTTGCTGGTTAACTGAGGATAACACCATGTTCTATATATTTTTTTCAGTACCTCCTCACTTTACCCAGCATGATTTCTGGCATAAACAGGCCCAGTAAGCATCAGGTATGTATATTAAATTTAAAAATACTACTTTCTTCAAAAGAATTCAGAATACAATTAAAGCTTTCAAATATAAGTACTTACATTAAAGCATTAAAAGTTATCATTGGATAGTCAGATTACAGTTTCCTACTGTGATGAAGTCTGAACTGTAAAGTCACTAGTGTATTTGCATAGGAAAAATGGGCTACTCTTCAAAGAAAGCAGTCACATGATTATTAAAATAAGCAAACAAATGAGCAAACAGAAGTAATACAGCTTTATGGGAAATTTTACCTATAGCTTAAGATTAGCTAGGAAAGATTCAAGAAAACCTAAAAATACAATGCTATGAATTATTTTATAACTTTAAAATCAAAGGGTTTCTGGGAGGGGGGAACAGGGAGTTATTGTTTAATGGGTACTGAGTTTCAGTTTTAGAAGATGGGTAGTTCTAGAGACGGATGGTTCTGATGGCTGCACAACAATGTGAATGTATTTAATGCCCCTGAACTATACACTTAAAAACGTTCGAAATGGTAAATTTTATGTTATGTATATTTTACCACAATTTTTTAAAAAAAATCCAAGGGTTTCCACAGTTACCTAACAGACATGAATCACCTGGTCTATATATTGTGTATGTTTGAAACGCCAAGCTGAGATCAGCATTCTTAAGGATGTTCAACAAAGTTTCAGGAGTCTCTTTGAGCCACTGCTTACGGGTATTATTTCCAGTATACTTGATTACAGAACCACCTAGTTGTGAAGAGATAAACATTAGGGCCAAATAAAAAAGACTGTCAGTACACATCTTCCAGATCATATTTCAAGCAAATCAACCATATTTTACTCTCTATTAAAATCTACTTCACTCACCTGTCTGAGCAGTGCTCTAATGTGTGACACCAAATATCCATCACAGAGTGACATTAAAAAAACAAAACTCTAGCCCGTTAAGCAACTATTAGAAAATGTTCTGTAATAACAGTATTCAATCTGACTGCTAACCTCTATCATCCTCTGCTGTCAAACTGGACGTGAGTATGGATGCATTTTCCAAAGCTGTAAGTGCTGTATTAGATGCATTTTTTTCCCACTGTCGCCTGACAGGACTTGGTGAAGTGGCTTTCCTCGGATGGATTGATTTATTATCTGGTTTTAAAATGTAAAAAAGGTTTGTGGAACATATCTTTCATTTATTCATTTAATGTAGAGACACACATGTATTTCTCTAGCTACAGTACGGAAGTATTTCTTTTCTGTTTCAAATTCAGATCTAACAATGTTGTGCAACTCTAAGTAGCAAAGGAAATGAAAAAAAATCCAGATGAAAAGACAAACAAATCATTAAGGTGAATTTTTAAAAATAATATATATATATTTACATATTACACTATGAATGAGCTCTGAGAGGACTTAAGATACACACTGAATGCCATGCTTTTTATGGTGGAGAGCGTAACAAATACTAATACTAGTTTTTCTGAAGGCTCTTATTAATAAACACTATTCTCTCTTTTTTATAGGTAAATAAGATATTCCTGAAATAAACAAGTTCCTGGATAAGCACACAAAAATCTGCCTGTCCACTTGTTTATGACACTAATGACCTAGTCATGTGAACACTGCTATTCCTTTTATATTCCCAACCCCTCACTTATACAATGATTAGAATTTGAATAACTTACCTTTCTCTTCTTTGTTTACTCTCCTCAGTGCACCTTTAACGGAATTTTTATTACTGCTTCCTAAATCAGCGTGGCTACTCTTGCTACCTTGTTCTTCCCCTTGCTTTAAAAGAGATTAAAAATACAGATTAAACAATGTGTGAATTGCTACAAAAAAGGGTAAACAACTATGCAAAATCAGATGTTTTAATTTGTTTTTTTCAACACAACTTTATTGAAGTATTGATTGCAAAGTAGTGATAAGTGTTACAGGATATACTACTAAGGAGAGTGAGAGAGGAGGCGAGCTACAAGAATTGAGTAATTATCCCCAAACTATCAATTCTATAAAATCATGGAGAATGTCTATGTTTATGCACCCAGATGTTTTAAATTTTTTTTTAAATTTTAAATAAAGGTTAATGAATTAAAAAACATTAAGGACCATAGAACCCTATACATAAGTGTATATTAATAGCCATATACATCATACATATGTATATGTATATTAATAGTTCCTATACATTATTAGCTGTTAATATCAATCATTGCACATATGAAGACATTATATAAAAATGACAGATATTTGAGAGGTCTTCAGAGAGGAAATAAGTAATAAAAACATTTCAATATGGTTTGCTATATTGGGCTTTCCATGCTGGAAATATAAAAATGAAATGTTGTATAAAGTTGCTATATATGGTCAAAATGTTTGCACTCAATTCATTATTTTTCTAAATTATCTAAGCTCTTGATTTCATGAAACATATAGTAACATGCTATCATCTTTAAATCTGCATATATTTTGAGAAGGAATACATATCTAGTGCCTTGGGTCTCCAACACATAGGTTCTCAATGATTTGTTGAATAAATCAATAAATTAAACAGTAAGCTATAATTGGCACGTTGTTTTCTTATGTTCTATACAGTGGTTCTCAAACTTCTCTCCCCACACATCCAGAGGACATGATTTCAAAAGTCTTCCCCTCTCCCATAGACAAAGACGTCAAAATCTTGGAGGGGTGGCTATGATGAGCAGTTTTTAAAAGCTCCCGGGGGGGGGGGTCCCATTTTCCATCCTGGCTGAGAATCACTGCCCTGCAGACAGCAGCATCCAACACCACTCCCAGCCCATCGCACCTGTGGACCTGCCCGGGACTCTCTTCCTCCCTCAGCTCTCCTGTTACCTGACTTATTTTTTTGGCTCTTTGTCCATTCTGTGTACATACTGTACCCTTTTCATTTTGTGAAAACACAATGACTGATGCCTACTCGAGGTGGTATTAAAATTGCCTGGGACGGGAGTGGGAATCGGCTACAAAAGGCCACAAGAAAACCTTTTATGGGTATGGGATTTCTATATCTTGATTGTGGTGGTGGTTATGTGACTATAAAATTACCCAAATCCATCAAACTGTATGCTAAAAGTGAGTAAATTTTATTGCATGTAAATTATGCCTCAATAAAGTTGGAAAAAATAGTATTACCATGCAAAGAAAAAAAGGACAGAGGCATTCCATTTGTAGCAACATAATGGTGGGATGCTGTTATTTATTTATAATCTAAGGTTCATTAAAAAAATTTACGAGTTTAATTACTAGTACATTCCACAAACAGAATAATTTGTTGTTAGTATATCCTTTCCTTTTAAAGCTTAAAGATTGATTAAAATGCTGAAGAAAGAGAAAGATCGTCAGTAGGACACAATTTATAGAGAGGGCTGTGACAACACTTGGAAGTGGATTGGCCATTACTGTGTATGACTTTATTGCAGCTTTCATGCAAAAGCATTCACAGATAAACACCAACAGGACTTTGAAGGCCAGGCTGAAAAATGTCAACTTGATTCCTGGGATAATGGGGAGGCACTAAAAGTTTTTGAAAAAAATGTCACTATCAAAATAGTGATCTAAATAAAAAGGAAGGAAATTCTGATACATGCTGTAACATGATGAACCTTGAAAATATTATGCTAAGTGCAAGAAGTCAGACACAAAAGGACAAATATTGTATGATTCCACTTACATGAAGTATCTGGAATAGGCCAATTATGTCATAAAGACAGAAAGTAGGATAGAGGTTACCAGGGACCGGGGTGGATGTGGGGGTGAGAAAGGAGTGGGGAGTTATTGTTGAATGGGTAGTTTCTGTTTTGGATGATGAGTAAGTATTGGAAACAGACAGTGGTAATAGCTACACAATTTTGTGAATGCAATTAATGCCACTGAATTATATACTTAAAAAATTACTAAAATGGGGCCAGCTGAGTGGCGCATTGGTTGGGAGTTGGCTTGGGGCGCCCGTTCTGAGCAGCAAGGCCCCAGTTCAGATCCCACATTGGGGCCAGTAATGCTGCGCCCTCTATGGCTAGGATGGTGAATGGCAGCTCGACCTAGAGCTGGGCTGCCATGGGTCGCCAGCGACAGCGTGGGCTGCAGCCCCTGCTGCAGTGGGCTGCTGTGGGCTACTGTGAGTGGCTGGCAGCCAGCATGGGCTGCTGAGAGCCGCCATGAGCAGCGGTCCATTAGCCAGCAGCCAATCTGCCTCACCTGGAAAGAGTGCAATGATAATACCAACATGGGTCAGTGAAGTGAGGTCCTCAACTAGATTGAAGAACAAAAGGGACAGGGGCTTGTCTGTTCCCCTTCCCCAGTTCTTCAATGCTGTTCCTCTCCCCCAATTCCCCAATAAAATCTTTAAAAAAAAAAAAAGACTAAAGTGGTAAATGTTATGTTATATATATTTTACGACACTAAGAAAACAAATCAAAAGCCAAGCTAAAACATGATTTTCATGACTAAAAGCTGAACAAAGTTCTCTCACATTTGTATTGAAACCACTTGTCATCAATAATTAAAAACAAAACAAAAAAACAAAATAAATGATGATCTAAGGTGGTTCAGCTGGCAGTACAGGACAATAGCTACCAATTACTTCACATGCTAAAAGATAAAAACCTGTTAAACTGGAGGGACCAGGTCACAGTCTTCCAAATATCCCACAACACCTAATAATACCAGGTACCCAGGAAATGGTTGTTTCATAAATTTAAGTCTAAAGCACTTACCACTGTGCTTGCTTCTTTTTCCAAAGCCATCCTGATTCTATGAGGGTCTGCTTAAAGAGAAAAGAGAAGGCAAAAAGGGAAAGCATGGAAAGGATTACATTATTAAGCTGCTAATGTGATTTGCATAAAGGTTGAGGGACAAATGAGGACAGATGAAGTTTTTAAAGTCAAAGAACCAAAACATTAGCCTGAATAGTGATAACAAGCTTTAACCAACTAGTAACACCTCAGCTGTTAAAAGAGGCTATTTCTGTGGTTTTATTCCTAACATTCATCTGAAAGTTGACACCTCTATTTATTTATACCAGCCTATTTAGGCACTAGGAGGTAATCCTCGGAAGGTCACTAGCACCTTCAGCACAAGCTAGTCTGTGCCTTTGCTGACAGCTGTGATCGCAGGTGGAATAGGCAACTCTCAGTCAGAGAAAACTCTGGCAGTAGATCCCTTTGGTTAGAATAGCTCCAGTCTGATTTTCTTCTGGCATAGGTCTGCAGTCTTTACTCCTCATTCAGTCAGCATTTTAAATACTTGTTATTGAGCATCTATGATGACAGGCACGGAAGATACAACAGTGAGCAGATGAGACACGGTCCCTGTCCTCACAGAGCTTTCATTGTTCTGGTCTCACTGTCTACAGACTAGCTGGAGATGCCACCAGACACATGGACCCAACATGGTGGCACCTCTCTGCTGGTTTACTCCTCTCTTTTTAGAAATCGGAAAACTACACTTTTCCAAACTATCTTTAAACTTTTCTTACCCTGATTTTGTTGTTGCTGTTGCCCGGCATTTAAAAACTGATTTCATAGTCCCCTGGGATGTGAACAAAAGCTACAAAGCAATACCTTAAGTAGAACTAACACGAAAACAAACTGCTGAAACAAAGATTACTACCTGCCTCTTAAATAATGGAGAAAAGGCTGAATTATAAGACTGAAGGGCTTACATCACTAAAGTATTTACATTCTTACAAAAATGACATTTAAAATTTAACGTTAAGGAAACAGTAGTTTTCGAAGTGTTTCTTTTGTGGTACATAACGCTGAGAGAATGGACACCAAACAGTGGAGGTTTTGCAACATGTCCCTACAGTGGATGATCTTCCATTTGCCTTAACTCTTTTCTCTTATTCTGGTCATATCTACTGTCTTTGTTGGATCTCTTCAGATGGAAAATGAGTCACATCTGATGACAAAAATAGCTTTGAAAAACTTAAGAGATGACTACTTCCAAAGACGCAATAAATTACACTTGCAATTTGCTCAGGATTGACAATAGATGTATGAAAGTTTTGTGCAGCTATTATGTGAACAGTTCCAACTTTTATAAAGGTTCTGTTTTCAAAAAATTTATTTACAAGATGGATCTTTGGAAACTTGAGGATAATTTTCTGCTAAACATAACATTTTTGTGGTTAGATTCCTAGGCTAGTCCACAGAAGCCTTCTACCTCGCCCATAGCAAACCAGAGTAAATATGGTACTAATAATGAAACAGAATAATCGTTACATCACTAAACATCACTAAAATCTCCAAGCTAGGCTTTTTGACCCCTGGCAAACTAACTGTATAAGATTCAGTACAGAATTACGTCTTAAGTAACAAACAGGAAATTTTGATTTGAGAAATATCTCTGAAAAAGCTCTCACTTAACTTGAAAATTAAATTTTTCTTTTTTGGTATACTACATTTAAAAAGAACACTTGACAAAAAATAAGCTTTCCAAAATTCTTACCCTGTTTTCTTGATGTACTATGCTTAGATTTTTTGGTTTCTTCCAATACCTGCTCGCCATATTCTGTGATAATCTGATAATTTAGAGCAGAGAATTTAAAGATATGAACCACTTTTCTTTAGACACTGCTGTGTCATTTAACTATCAACACTCTTCCCCACAATAACACTTGAAAGTTGAAAACTAAAAATGCCATTTAAAAATAGATATAATTGAGACACACAGACACTTATCTAGAAAAAGATCTGAAAGGATATGCAAAACTATGCCTGTGATTGTACTTGGGGAAAGCATTGTTGAAGGGAGAACAGGAGGGAAAGGAAGTTTTAACTTTTTATGATTTTTTTATACACTTCTGCATTATTTGAGTTTTTACAGGTAAAACATGGAACTGTGTTTAAAAGGAACCATTTTACATACACTTGAAAACTGTTCACAGTCAAGCCAACACGTAACATACCTCTGGGGTTAAGCATCTCTGGATAAGTCGAGCTAAAATGCCTCTAGAGAGAAGCGTGGTAGCTGAGGGGCGATGGGAGGGATTCCTTTTAAACATCTGCTTGATGAGATGCTGAAGTTCATAGGAATAATGAGATGGCAGTGGGCTCATGGACCCCTGACATATTTTGAGGATAAGACTTTTCCAACTATTTGCCTGAAACTAAAAAGTAAAATTGAACTATAAAAGCAGATACAAGGAAGGAGAATAAAAATAAGAACATACCAGAGGAACTGAATTCATATGAATTATTTTAATTCTATAAATGTATCTGCTGCCTGGTCATTTTTCTTCCTAGAGGTATCCTTAAGATACTACTCAAAATCTTATGGTAAACATAAGATTTTGTTTAGGAGAAAGGTAAACATAAATAGAAAAAAAAATTTTCCCTATCTAGAGTAAGGCCAGCTTTGGGTACTTTATTACTTATAATCAATGTTTTTGCAGATACACATTTTATATATATTTTAAAAATCAAAGTAATACAAACATATGACTTTTTTTAGAAGACAAATGACACTAAAGACTTACAATAAGTGGTCATTTATTTCACTCCTCCCTAGAAAACCCTATGTCTACTTCCTGGTAATATGCACTTTAGACTTTTCCAGTTTTAAACATCTACTACAAAATCCTTTTCATCTTTCATGTCATCAACATAGCTATTAAAATTTGACAACAGAGGGCCGGCCAAGTGGCGCGTTGGTTAAGAACTGGCTTGGGACACCAGTTCAGAGCAGCAGGGCCCTGGTTCGGATCCCACATTAGGGGCAGTGATGCTGTGCCCTCTACAACTAAGATGGTGAACAACGGCTCAATCTGGAGCTGGGCTGCCCTGAGTTGCTGGTGACAGCGTAGGCTGCAGTGAAGCTGCAGTGGGCTCCGGTAAGCTACCGTGAGCAGCCAGCAGCTGCGTGAGCTGCCAAGAGCTGCCGTGAGTGGCCGTCCAGTGATTGGCAACTGATCTGCCTCACCCGGGAAGAGCACAATGATAATGCCAACATGGTCCAGTGAAGCGATGTCCTCCGCAACTAGACTGAAGAACAAAAGGACAGCAACTTGTCTGTTCCCCTTCCCCGATCCCCCAACGCTATTCCCCTCTCCCAATTCCCCAAATAAAATCTTAAAAAAAAAAAACTTTGACAACAGAGTGGGATATACCAGAATAGCATTTTAAGAGTTTTCGTTGTATAATATATTAGAATTAACATTAGGTGTCAGCCTTGATAAAAAGATCACATTGATATTCTGCATTAGAAGTGCATTACCCTATTTATAAAACATACAAGTGAAGATATAAAAAAGGAAAAATCAACATCAACATATGACAAAGGAAAAATTCAAGTAATGAAAAATAAGCTTGAATCTGCTTTCTCTCAGGCTTTTTAACTATTTTTATTGAGTTTTTCTGCATTTTCAAAAGGTTTGCAAACTACTTTGCCTAAAAGCAGCTGACAGAACAGACTGTGTGCCAAATATTGACGGCACTATGCTCTTTAATAGTTATTCTTGCTACAAAAAATAAGGACATGTGTATGAAAGTTTATGAAAAAGACAAAATCAGGGAAATAAAGAATATAATTATAAATAAGATATTGAAGTTTAAAAAATAATTTTATTTATATACAATAGTGATCCTTCACTTGGGCCACACATTAGAATCAGCTGTTTTAAAAACACTAATGCCCAGGAAACTCTCAGGGATCTTAATTCAATTAGTCTGGTGTAACCTAGGCATCATCATTTTTTTTTTAAGATTTTATTGGGGAGCTGGAGGAGGGGAACAGACAAGTTACTGTCCTTTTGTTCTTCAGCCTAGTTGTGGAGGACGTTGCTTCACTGGCCCATGTTGGCATTATCACTGTGCTCTTCCCGGGTGAGGCAGATCAGTCACCGGCCTCTGGACAGCCGCTCACGCTGGCTGCCGGCCACACACGGTAGCTTAGGTAGCCCACTGCAGCAGGGGCTGCAGCCTAGGTCGTCGACAGCGACTCACAGCAGCCCAGCTCCAGGTCGAGCTGTGGTTCACCATCTTAGCTGTAGAGGGCAGTGTCACTGGCCCTGATGTGGGATCCGAACCGGGGCCTTGTTGCTCAGCGCTAGCGTCCCAAGCCAGCTCTAACTAACGCGCCACTCGGCTGGCCCGGCAGCATCATTTTTTAAAGTTTCCCACTTTGTTCTAATTATACAGCTGGCATTACAAACCACTCATTAACAGTGCATGCCTTCAGTTTGAGTTACTTTCATCTAGTGGTGATGAAGGATTTTTCTGGTATTACAAGTTGTATGGATTGTTTCAAGTATGGATTGAAACTTGGTGCTAGGAAGCATTTTTACAGCTGTGCTGGAGAGCACATAGAGCTCATGAGAGTAATAGGGATCAGACCTATGACAGCTAGTTCTATGTAATAAACACCTGCTAAGCAAGCAGGGCAAGTTATTGAACCTCTTTTTTGTAAAATTATTTTTAAAAATATCTTGAAAAATATATAATAGGGCAAAGTGTATTTTTTCTTAATTCAGTTAGAGAAGAAACTCACATAATAAGTGAAATATAACTGTAAAAGATAAGCATAAAAATGGTGCTGCCACTCCGGAAAACAGTTCTGTAGTTCTTCATAAAGCTAAACTTACAATTACCATATGACCCAGCAATTCCACTCCTAGGTATATAATCAAAACAACTGAAAACAGGAATTTTAGCAGATACTTGTACACTCATGTTCATAGCAGCATCATTCACAATGGCCAAAAGGTGGAAACAACCCAAATGTCCATCAAGAGATGAATGAATGGATAAACAAAACATGGCATAAACATACAATGGAATATTATTCAGTCATAAAAAGGAAGGAAATTCTGATGCATGCTCCAACATGAACATTGAAAACTGTATGCTAGGTGAAGTAAGAGAGACACAAAAGAAAAAGTACTGTACAGTCCCACTTATATGAAATATCTAGAATATGGAAATTTACAGAGACAGGAAGTAGACTACAGGTTACCAAGGCTGAGGGGAGAGGGCTATAGAAAGTTACTGTTTAAGGGTACAGAGTTTTGTTTGGGGTGATGAAAAAATTTTATAAATAGATAGCAGTGATGGTTGCACAATATTGTGAAGTAATTAATCCCACTGAATTGTACACTTAAAATGGTTAAAATAGTAAATGTTAGGTTATATATATTTTGCCAAAATAAAAAAAAATTAGTAGCAAAAAAATAAATAAATAAAATAAAGGGAAGGAAAGGAAGGAGGGAGGGAGACAGGGAGGGAAAGAGGGGCTAAATACAGAACTATAAAAAATGAAATAATGGAAATTTCCTATTAGCATATGCTATAAAAGTGGGTCAAGGGAAAGATGATAGTGATGTAAACATATGGAAACTTTCATAATGAAGAATTCATCCTAGGGAAGCAAACTGCCTACTGGACTTTGGCACGTGACTTACGACTTAGCCAGATACGACAGGCTGCCTTTTCCATTTTGCTCGCCATACTTACTGGATGCTTCAGGGTACAGAGTTCATACAGAATGCAACCCAAGGACCAGATGTCACTGGAAGCATAAAAAAAGCAATGTGGGTCATGAGTTATCATATGAAAACATATGGACTTTCCAATATAAAAGAAAATGAAAAATTACCTTTAATAAAAACATATATTACAAGTAATTCCTAGCTATTAAAATAAAACATATGGTAATTTTGTTCTAATACTTACTGACAGTAATCTGCACTCTCTGCTCCCCAACCCCTACCCCTCCAAATCAGAGTGGTTCAGGTATCACTTCAGTAGTATTTGGTGCAAGAGGGAATCCTTGTGGACTCCTTGTCATAGTAGGAAGGACTTCAGAATGCCTCCAGTGCAGCTTCCACCCAGACCACCCATGAACAAACCAGGCCTTCGGTCACACCTCTGATGGCCAGCCATCTCCTTGGGCACAGTCTGTTGCCCCTGTTGGAAGGCTCTAAGGGACAGTGTTCTTTCTTATCCTAAGTCAAATGTGTCTTCCGGGGACCCTCTCCGCTCTCTGTTAGCTCAACATTCCAAGACAAAGACAACCAGACTACTCATTCTTCCACCAAACAGCTCTTCAGACATCAGAAGAGTTCTACAGTTTGCCCTATACACTCACCCTTCTTCATGTTAAGCATCGCCATCATTCTCACCTCATAGTTGATGTTCTCCAGGCTTTTTCTAGATGATACTCCAATTTCGACTAATGGCTTTTATCAACTGTTTCCCCCCAATTTTAATTTTTTAAAGTTTGAAACCTACAGAAAAGTTATAAATGCCTATATGCTCCTCCCTCCTTCCTAATTTTCCTCATTAACATCTGCCACATTTGCGTTCTGTTTCCCTCTTCCATCCATATCTGAGTTGCAGACATCAAACACTCAGCCCCAAACACATCAGCATGTATCTCCTAAGAGTAAGGACACTCTCCCTCATAAACATAATGCCATTATCCTATCCAAGATCTTTAACCTGAAAAAATAACACTATCCAATGTTTTGTCAAAACTGAAATTCTCGGGCCAGCCGAGTGGCGCAATGGTTAAGAACTGGCTTGGGACGCCAGAGAGCCCCGGTTCAGATCCCACATATGAGGGCCAGTGACACTGCCCTCCACAGCTAAGATGCTGAAC